CGGGCGGAAAAGGCATGAACGGTAGGTTAAAGGGTTGGAAACAACTCAAGCTCATACATTAAATTTGCGGCAAAATTTTCCAGAAAACAGAATTGCACAAAGTCCGTATTTTTAATGCATCTCTTTGGACAAAAATGCTATATGAATGAAACTTGTGACATTTGAATCCTAAGAGACAAAACTACAATTCATATGCAGACACTGAAATCAAATAAGGCCATTTAGCATGTGATAAATCAGCAAACATTGAAAATTTATTTACAGACCAAAACTGGGGTAATGCACCTAGCTAGACTTCAGTAATTGCTCTCTAACTGGAGCTACAGACATGATTTTAATGAAATTTCAATACCAAATGATAGATAACTCAAATGTATACAACTTTGTTGAAGGTCACTTTGGCAAATAAACACATTTTCAATGAGTTTAAACACAAAACATGTGGTTCAGAAAATCTGTCAAAAATTAACATGTGTTATGGACAGCACCTCAGTGTTTACCCTCTAGATTGAGCTACAGACTTTCAAATGACATGTTTCAAGTCTCAAATTAAGCCTAAAGCATGCCTCTACAACTTTTATTTAGAACACCGAAGCATAAAAGGTCATTTAGATAGTGTAAAATCAGTTAGCATTCAATATCAGATTCTGCCAAAACACAAAACTCTATCTCATGCATGTCTATCTTCCTAAGAACACAACTCGAGCTACAGAGCACATATTAACATGAAATTTATCTCATTTAAAATATAAGAAACAGACCTATAACTTCCATGAAGAGCATATATTCATACGAGCACGTTATGACATGATAAACAGGTCATACATTAATTACACACATGCTGCCGGGTAACAGGAAAACTGGACGCGCAATATTCTCGTAAAAATCATAACTTATTCGATATAACTCGGAATCAAGAAATTCCAAAGCCCACATATAGAAAACCGAACGTACTACATTTCATAAGAAGATAGAAACTTCAAATAACCAACCTCTGATGGCTTAAACTGAGGCACAACAGAAACAACAAACATGCGAATTAACAAGAAATAACAATGAACATATATAACGAAAGTTCTAAGCTCGACCACGATTAATATGACTTCTCAACAAAAATAAACGAGCACAACATGTTCATCACAGCAACTACATGATACTCGATTTATAAAAAAGACGAGAGTTATCAATCTCCTCGAAGAATTTGCGAGACAAACCAATGAGTAAGAACGAATGATAACGAACAAATTATAACAGGGAAAATCAGCCATTAACCCGATTCCCACGAATCTACACGCACAAGTGGTCGGATCATCAACATGCAACCGACACTTAGACTCCACTCCCAGTTCCATTGACCGGGTTCTACACGCGTCTAATAGTTCTAGCCACAATAGGTACAGACTTCCGAATAATCCACACATCCGAGACTTATTCGTTTGTCTGTTCCCTTTACTTAAGCCTTCTCTTTCGAGATAGCTTACGAATGATTCTCACTCGATGGTACTAAACAGAAACTCATAACGAGTGCACTGCTATAGACCAAACTTAACTCGATAACACCCAACCAAAGACTCACAACAAAAAAAAAAAAATTCTCTTAAGTCGGCATTTAACTCTGCACCACTAGAGTTCAAGTCCGAATAAACGGAGGGTAAATTCCTAAGCCCCAATAAAAGAACAAACCATAATCACGTCATTCACAATAATCAAAACAAATAAAACTCATACCTTGAGCTGGTGCGGCGAGACGAAGCGAGTGGTCAATGGTCAT